ATGTTAGTAAAATACAATTATGGGAAATTTAATAAATAATATAAATAATTATTGTTAACTTCCAGCGGCAGCCATATGTGGATGGATGATATCAGCCCTCTAAGCCTACCAGTAGGCGCAGAAGGGCCCTATTGACCCATATCTATCAGCTGATTACGTTCACTTAATAGAGTGATAGCATTCGAATCAGCTGGTGCTTTTGCAATAGTTCCATCGCAGGTTCTGCAATGTCGAGTCGGGATACGGTTGATCAGCAACACAGTTCAGAACATATGAGATTTGTGGAGTTGTTGTAAAGTTTAACCATAATATAGTAAAAGTGTATAATGTGCATGCGTTTTTAACGTACGTTCACATCGAAAGCGGTGAGAGCGTCAAAGCAGCCGGAAACCATTCATTTTCAATGAGAGCCAGCGCCGAGGAGTAGCGTGGCGCGTCTTCGCCGGTGTGGGCGTCGAGAAGAGTTAAAATCAAGTCAACTTTATGGTTTTGAGCTATGACCCGGTTCAGCGGCAAGCAATTGGAGTTCAGAGAACACAGACCTGTGAACTTTGGGTCCGACCACAGTTGTTCCCAGTGGTTTGACTACTGCAGTCGCCGGAATTTCAATTATTTACAATGTTTTCTTACAGGAACTTGTATTTAAAAAGTTACTGATGTGCATTAAAGTTATATATATTTATCCTAAAAAAGCGGGAATCTCATGGGATAGTACAAAACAGTGTTGCTGCTTCAGGATATTTCAGACATATAGACACATTGGATCATTAAGTGGAGCAAACCCACACCACACGCAACTTTATCTTCCATTGTTAAATGAATTTAATAAGTGTACATACAACATTTTCACACTAGAAAGCATGTTTTATGCAGGAAAGTAACTGATATGCTGCAACGGCCCCTTTAAATACAAGATTAATGTAGAGAATTTTGACGCTCTCGCCACCGGAGCTGAAGGCAGACAGAGTTGTCGCCGAGGCGGTCAGAGCGACTTTGGACGCTCTCACCACTTCGGTGTGAACGCACGGTAAGGGGGACCTATTATGCAAAAATCCCTTTTATAAGGGGTTTAAACACAGTTGTGTGGCAGCTGTGAGTATAACCAGTTGGTAAATGGTAAAAATAATAATAATCACGCTTAATAAAAACATAGTTGTACATAGCACGTGTCATCAGAGGGGGAAAGTCCCACCCATTAGTGTCAATCTCTTTCTCATTAGCATAGGGTGTTAGTCTTCTTCTTGAATCTGGCACTATGCTGACTGTTATGTTTCACGTATGTTTTGTGGTGTTATGTGTTTGTTTTCTGTTTCGCTTTCTCTCCCTTTACCCGGCTTTGTTTTCTTTGTTTTTCCTTCCCGCAGATGTGCGACCATTGGTCAACAAGGCCGTCACTCATCATTATGACATCACACCAATCGGAAGCGTTTAAAAGCATTCGCTTGCACTTTCCAGTAGAAGCACTCGATTCTACAACTCTTCACTTTTATCAACCATTTGTGTTGGTATAATTTTGTGTTCAGTTTGTCTCTCGTTGAAGCGCTTTATTGATAAAATATGCTTTTTATAGCTCAATTTACCAGATTATTAGAAAGTCAAACAATTTTTATGAGAATTGTATTATCAGATAAGCTTTTGTTTTGCTAATTACCAACAGTGTGTACTTTTTACGAGAACTCTAGTAATTCCGAGTAGAATAGTATTTCATGCTAGTTTATAGAGGATTTGCCACGCCTGTAATTATGTTTTGAATAGTTAAGTAGTTTAGTTAAGCGTCACATACGCTGAAGATTGCGGTTTTGTTTCTACATTTTTCTTTGGTTAGTTAGTTTGGGGTTTAGTTAGACTGTTTTGTTATATTTATTTCTTTGTTTTGGCAACACTCCTGTTTCATTTGGTTTGGTTGGTTAAACTACATTTGTAATTCCTATATTCATTGTTTAATATCCTTGTTTAATAAATTATTTTGGTTTCACATAGCCATTTGTTGTGTTTTCTCTTATTTTCACGCAGCACCAGTAGAAACTCACTTAATTTTACGCCTTATCCTATATAACAACATTAACGCGTAAAGCCTGGTTTATACTTCTGCGTCAAGTGACCGGCGTAACCCACAGCGCATGCAACGGCTGTGCATTTATACTTCTGCGCACTGTCACTGTTGGTCTGCATTAACACTTCCGAAACGAGTTGGCAGTGAGGTATTAATGTTCTCTGTGTCAAGTTTCTTCGCTGCTGTTTTGTTTTTTTCTGAACGCTTCCTGAATGTATAAATGGCTCAAACTCGCTCATTTTGAGGCAGGACATACAACAACTTTAATTATGAGTTAAACACAAAACAAAACTTTCCATCCAGAGCTCCTTCACAGGACTCCACACTTGTAAACAATTGCTTCATCGGGCTCGCACCACATGTGCGGCTCGGTCCCGCCCTGACTCGTCAGCGCTACAGCCACGGCGTAGGGTAGAAGTATAAATCAGCCTTAACACTGACACATTTGTAGCTCCACCCTCTTTTGAAAAGAGCACAATCTCATTTGAATTTAAAGTGACAGTCATCAAAATATACAATTACGATCAACGCCTAAAAGGGGCAGGTTCAAAGAGTTTCAAACATTATTTATGGGGTATTTTAAGCTGACACTTCAAATACATACTCTAGGGACATCAGAGACTTAATTTACATTTTGCAAAAAAGGGTATAAATAGGTCCCCTTTAAGGTCTGTGACTGAGCATTTCAAGTGAATTTAAAGCATTCAGGCAAGAAATTAACATGAATTAAAGAAATTATAATGTGTGTAGCTTTAACAAAGTTTACCGTATTTAATTACTCATGCAATGAAGTGTTATTTTAGATTTAATTATTTTAATTTGGTACAGTTAGACTCTCTGGAAATCCATTAAAGCACTTTTTGCATTCTTTGTATCTTTATTCTGTTGTACTTTTCTTTCATTGTAATGTGTTATAATTTATCTAGATGCATTCCAAATAGAGAATTTAAAGCATTTATTGAAATTATTGAAAATTATGTATTTGCAATATTTATTGCAGGAAAACAAAATATCACAATGTCAGTTTTTTTTCAACATTGTGGAGCCCTGATTTAGTCCATTTCTGCATTGATTCCAACAAGGAAGAAGGCAAAAGTGCTTCAAAATCAGGCTTTTCAGCATGTTGAGGAACACCTGGCCGCCGTCTGCCCCAGGGTAGAACACAAATATTCACAACAGAGAGATTTTAGCATGTACAGACAATGCGGCCATCTCCTATCATACACCAAATATGGATTCTCACAGAGTGAGAACATTCAGTTTAAAACACCATGCTTAGCATGCATTTTGCCATGAAGTAACAATGCTATGTATACAGTTTTGAAATGAAGTATTATGCATGTTTGACTGAAATGTTAAACCGAAATTTTCACAGAAAAATAACAAGAATTTGGTCGTTATTCACTGAGGTAAAGTTGGTTTTATATTCACACATTCTGACTTTCTCCTTAATATAATTTCAGAAAAATATTTTAGCACATTCAAAACTGTGAAATCATATTAGCAGCCAGTGGCTTGTTTTGAGGTCCTACTTACATGCGATTTAAAACCGATTAAGGACAATGGTAATGAAGTTGTCACTGAACGAATATAAAACTGACTTTACCCTAATTTCCATTCACAATGCATTTCACACCATCCAAGCCAGATTGACTGCAATACAGTCCCAATGTGAAGGTGAGGAAAGGTTGCCCTCATGGACATCATGTTGCAGTCAACTTTTTCAATCGAGGTAAATTTGATTTTATATTCCCACATTTAGACTTTCTCCTTAATAATATAGTTTCATAAAAGTATTCTTGGCACATTCAAAACTGGGAAATCATATCAGCAGTCAATGACTATCAAAGTACAACAATGTTTATGGTAAAATAAATATTGCTAATGTTGTTTTGAAGTCATTCATACATGTGATTTCAGACCAAATACTCAAAGTACCATGGTAATGAAGTTGTCACTGAATGAATGTGTGAATATAAAACCAACTTTACCCTAATGCAGTTCAGACCATCCAAGCCACTTTTGACTGAAATACAGCCCCAATGTGAAGGTGAGGGAAAGTTGCCCTCATGGACAACATGTTGTATTAACTCCTGTTATAATACAGTCAACTTATTTATTGAGGTAAAGTTGGTTTTTAATTTCCACATTCGAACTTTCTCCTTAATAATATAGCTTCATAAAAGTATTCTTGGCAAATTCAGAACTTGGAAATCGTATTAGCAGCCAATGACTATCAAAGTACAACAATGTTCACAGTCAAATTAATAGTGCTAAAGTTGTTTTGTAATCATGTGTGGGATTTTAAACCAAATATTCAAAGTACCATGGTAATGAAGTTGTCACCTCTATTTTATTTCACAATGCAGATCAGACCATCCGAGCCACGTTTGTCTGCAATACAGTCCCAATGTGAAGGTGATGGAAAGTTGCCCTCATGGACAACATGTTGTGTTAACTGCTGTTACAATACAGTCAACATTTTTATAGTGAACTAAAGTTGACACCAACCATCTTATCGATCAACCAAACCTGGAGTTTAACGATATCGGTGTTAACTCTTACAGGTTTTATGAGTTAATAGGATTTCCAGGTTGAAAAAGCTACTTCGGTTTTCCTCAGGCAAATAAATAAACAACACGAAACATAAACAGAAATCCCAAGTCAACATGCTAAGCCTATATGATAGCACATAAACACACCTTCTGATAAATTTAAATACAATACGTCTTACAAGAGAGCTTACAGGATCAATCTGAAGCAACTAACTTTTACACATTATAACTCCCCAGAAGCTGAGGTATGATTACTGAAAAAAAAAGATTTAAAACCACAAAAGCATGTTAAACACAAACAGCTCAAAGTCCTCCAGCAGAAACCTCTGACGCCTCAACAAACAGACCCTTTTGTTTGCGATCATCTGCCGTGTTTTTTATTGTTCACTTACCCGGTTTCTCGGCGAGCACGAGCGGGTGAATTGAATATAAGAGAATCAGTCCATACAGAACGGTGTGTCCAGACATTTCCACTTAAATCCGCAGTGAATGAGAGTAAAACGCGAAGGCACATTGGAGAAGCGTCACGGGAGCATGTTTACCGGGGGAAACTCGTGTACGTGTGTGTGTGTTTGTCCGCGCGGATCCCCGGACCGCCTTGAATGAACTCTTTTCTCTTCCGTGTTTCTCCCACAGGCGGCACCAAGCGGTCACTGAACCAGTCTGACGGCTCTCTCTAGACTAGAGTCAGGCTGTTAATAGGATAATAGTTGTGGAAATGATACTGAGGAGCCATGCATTGTTATGCCTTGCAAAGTTTTTTATTAAACTATTAGATTTTTTTTAAATAGTTTGCATCTTCCATTTTATTCACTTGTTTATTTGCGTATTTTATTTATATCATTAGTTTTATGTCTTGAAAAAGTATTTATTAAACTATTAGATTTTTTTTTGCATTTTCGATTTTATTTACTTGTTTAATTTTCTTTATTTTATTTATATCATTAGTTGTATGTCTTGGAAAAGTTTTATTAAACTATTAGATTTTTTTTGCATCTGATCTTCCATTTAATTTACTTAATTTTATTTATCTGTCTTTTAGACGTAAATTATAGGCTAACATTAAAACGTGTATCTTTCATCAATTTTATAATATAATATAAAAAAACAAAGATAAACATAAACACTTTATTCTACAAGATGCGATGATATAATAATGGTAAATATTAATGATGTAATGTACTAGAATATTGCAATTATATAATAATGGTAACTAATATTTTGGTATTTTTAGCATTAGTAGTAATGTTGTATATCATAGAAACAAAATATGTTAAATATATAATATGGTGACACTGTACTGGATAAGCTGACGGTTCATTCCGCTGTGGCGACTCCAGATTAATAAAGGGACTAATATTATTAAAAATGGTTAATAATATTTTGCCATTTTTAGAATTAGTAATAATGTTGCATATCATAGAAAAATAATGTTAAATATATAATATTTAGAGTTTTTTTCTTTTTGTAATTTTTTGTATTATTCAGTAGCGATGGGGCAAACTGCAAGAATAGAGGGACAGTAAGTGGGAATTGTAGAATCCACAGATACAGAACCACTGTGGGTAAGTCATCCTTTTCAGTGAAAGGTTTACATCATGGAATGCCATGCCTGTTGAATTAAAGATACAAACAGAACTCCCAGTTTTTTTTTTCCTGAAAAGCTAAATAAATGGTTGAAATCTTTACAGCAACATGAACATTAAATATTATTCTTTCAGGTTGGTCAGGTTTACAATTCTCTTTAGAATGCAGATTGACTTACATTTTTTGTTTGTGGCTCTGTATACTGCACGTTTGTTGTTGTTTTTATTTGTTGATTTGTATTTATTTTTTAATGTAAAGCCTAACCAGGGACAAGGGCTGCAAATTAGCTTCATGCAGTATATGCCCTATGTATGCGGCATCGGTTGTCTTTGTCTGACAATGTCAAGTGTATTGTCCCTGTTAAATAAACAAACAAATAAAATAAAACATTATATTACTGTAAAATATATAATATTTATTTATTTTTTAGTTTTTCTGTATTAGTAGTAATGTTGTTTATTAACTCAATAATTTTCCTTCGTTTAGTCCCTTATTCATCAAAGGTCAGTAAATAATATGTTAAATATATAATATATTAATATATTAAACAGTATGTTTTACATTATAATGTAATCCTGCAATAAATCAATAAATAATTTAATAAATTCATTAAAAAAAACATAGATTTCTTACATTTTGCAAGCTGTGATGGTTATTATGGTAATTGTATTAGTTTTAATGGAAACTGTAATGACCCCTATGGGTCTCCACTGGTAATTTGTTGTCACATATTGTCTCAAAACACACAAACCATTAAAACGTTACGTTATGGTTATTGTTGTAATGGAAACCATCTCATCTATCAATGTAATGATTTTTTTCCATTTTGGCAGGTAACGTTATATCTATAGGCAATTGTAGCATACAAATAATAAAGTTTAAATTATAAAAATAATTAATAAATAATAAATATTATTTAGAGTTATTGATCAATATTCTTTGGAGTTTTTCCTTTTTTTAACTGTCAAATGCTTTTCAAATATAGACTGAGCATGAATAAAACTATCAACTATGTTATAAAGAATGATACACAAAGATAATTATTACAATTATTGTGTGAAAAACTATTATCCAATTTCTTTATTTTATTTCTTTATTTATTTGTTCATTTTATTATTATTTATTTATTTTTCTTTTTACAAATGATCAATTAACGTTACATTTTTTCAACGGAGATAACCCACAAACGTCTGTACTTCTTGAGAGATTTGTTAGTTGTGGAAAAAACAGACAAAAAGTAAGGTAAATATAATTTTTATATACAGCACCGCCTCCAAATCGTGCTTTTATCTGCTCAAACTTTGTCAAATTACTGTGAGAATATATTAGCCTGAATTGTTTATATTTAACTTACCATGCGGTTGCTTACGCTACATACAAGTATAGCTAAGCTTGCTAAATTAGCCTTAGCAGAAAACAAACTTGTTTTACAAATTATTAGCAGAACACTAATTTAAGTTCTGGTGGATTTATTTAAATGCAATATACTACTTAAAATGAACAATGACAAGGTTCTTCATTGGTGAGTGTGTGTATAAAACTACTATTGTTAGCAGATAAACATACCGCGAGCATGAAAAGTGCTCGATTGAGAACGTTTCTTAAAAGCCAATGACAAAAACGTGTAGCCTAATAATGTCAGACAGTGACCGGTGGATTTCCAGTAACATATGGCCATTGATAGACTTTACACACATCATAGCATATCACATCTGTGCCAACTCATAAACTTTTACAACTTGCCTGGTAACGTTATTATGAAAATGCAGAGATCAGAATGATGATTATGCTGTAAAGTCGTTGGTTAAATAGTAAACGGTTCATCTTTAGATAAATTTGATATAAGCTGAATCTGATATTAGCAAACACAACAAAACTTGACTGTAAAAAAACAAAAGCTATTGCGCTCTCTGCTGGAGAAAAAGTCAGTTTACACAATCTACAGAAAAAAACAGTTGTTTCATTATTTCTTTATATATATATATATATATATATATATATATATATATATATATATATATATATATATATATATATATATATATATATATATATATTTTTTTTTTTTTTTCTTTCTTGATTTTCATTGACATTTTGTTTGATCTGAAAGAATACATTAATGTTTAAGCATGTATTCCACAGATTTTCTACAGTTTCAGGGCATCAGCAGTTTATTCACAGTACCAGCTGATACATTTTTTATTATTTTATATGTGTGTGATTCAATCAATTAATAAAATAGTTATTAAATCTGTTAAAATGTGAAAATAGTATAATTTAATGTATTATAATATAAACGGCACCATGACGTGGTTAGCACTGTTACCTTACAGCAAGAAGGTTGCTGGTTAGAGCCATGGCTGAGACAGTTGGCATATCCGTTGCGTAAAACATATGCAGGAATAGTTGGTGGTTCATTCTGCTGTGGCAACCCCTCATCAATAAGGGACTAAGCTGAATGAATGATTAAATAATATAATTTAATATAATATAATATAATATAATATAATATAATGAAATATAATATAATATAATATGAGATATTAATAATTATAGGTATGTTATAGATTATAATGAGATTAAAATTGGAGGAAAACATTCAAAATATACCAAACAAATGTGTCAACATCTATTCAGGGTACTACAATATTTTCTCTCTAAATTGAATTATTTATTTAATTATATTAGTACAGATTAAACAATCTTGCCCCTTAGTGATATATATATATATATATATATATATATATATATATATATATATATATATATATATATATATATATATATATATATATATATATATATATATAACATCATCTATTGTCCAGTGTTTTTTAATATATTTTTATATCATTGATACCATCTTTGCTTGTAGTGGTAGTTTGGATTTGTTATTTTGACATTTTCCATGTTTACAGTAAGCATACAGTATGTAATGTTTGTCTGTAATGTTTCACTGTTTTAAATATGACTCAAATCACGTTTTTAGAGAATAATGAGTTTATTGTTTTTGTTTTTGACTGAGTTAACCTGGCAAAAAACCTTATATGTTGTTATATATTGCATATATTGCAATCTAATACAATGTAGTATTTTACAAAAACTATATATCTTAAGCCTGTAATCTTTAGAAAAAAGCTATGATATAAATATATACATTCTTACTTAAAAGTCACATACTTTAACATTACTTTTCTAAAATGTAAATAAGTAACAAATGCAGGTTTTTTTTGAGCAGCTTAAGATTGTAATTTGTTACTTTTAAAAGTAACTTAACCAGCACTGGCTAAACAATGGATTTCCCTAACATTTAGAAGTGAATTCAGGTCAATCGTGACACGGTAGGAAAAAGTTGACCTGAAGTCACCCTATTTATCACTGCTATAAAATCATACAGTGCTCAGCGTAATTCAGTGCACCCCATTTTGAAAATAAATGTTTAATAATTTCTCAGTGAACATAGGTAATTTATTTTGGTGCATTTAAACAAAATAGATTTATTAAACAGATATATTTACTAAAATAATATTTTTTGTCAACAAACATCTTTAAAAATAGAAAGATAAAACAATTAAATTCAAGCAAAATATTGCAAATATATTTAATATATTATTTATTTAGTGTTTTCTCTAACAAATAAATCTGGGTGTACTTATTTTTGGACCCTTAAGGTTCTAAAAAAACCTGTAAGTTGTTTTGTCCAGATTTGGCTACAGTACTGACTAAACTAATGCATATGCACAAATAAAATTTTAGCATCCAATAGAAAATATTAATTTCAAAGATACATTTGTGAGGGGTGTATATATGCTGAGCACTGTGTATTTTACACACGGCGAAAAAATGTAATTGACCCGCTAGATGGTGCTGTTGGTTATGTTTATTTTTGTCTTCTGAAATCCTTTATGAATCACAGCAGTTAAAAGTGTTTTATATAAATCCTATGTAATAACAACAACAATGATAATAATGATAATAGTAACAACAACAACAACAACAATAATAATAATAATAATAATAATATTAGTAATAATAAATAA